AAAAAAATTAAGGGGAATCATTCATTAAATCTGGACTAATATTACCCGGTGACCTCATTTTATTTAGGAATCTACAGTATTCCCCACATCTGTGCTGTACACAGCACATCAGAACTTCTGATTTCAGAACGTCATTCAGAACGTCTTGGTTATCAAAACACCTTGAAACATTACATGCAATAACCACTTGCATCTCAAATGGCGCTCATCTTAAACCTCCATAATTCCTTATCTGGCAGAGAAAAAAAGCTGTGAAAATAAAATTACTTTAATAGAATTAATATCCTTAAATATACTCTGCATTATAGGGTGTGTGTGAGTTTGTGTGGAGTGCTGGAGTGTGTGTGTGTGTGTGTGTGTGTGTGTTTTTTTACACTACAGATTATGAATTAATTAAAATATATAATCTGTGCAACTGTAATACATATATCAGGTATCCCAGGTAATAAAAACTCAGTGTGAATCAAGCATAGATCATATTGTTCTGAGGCAAACTAACACTGTATCTCATTTAATCTCCATACTCTATGCATTAAGCTAAGGGGTGCAGCATTTTATTCTTTTTTTCAATTTAAGCTAAAATCTGTATTGGCTGTAAAAGGTTTGCACTTATGTCTGGTTAAAACCGTTTTGTTAATTTGCCTTTATTCAAAGTGACATAACCAGTTGAATGAGAGTGAATTCTTTTAAAACTTCTGTAAAAATTGGTTTATTTTGCTTGGCTTTGTGGAAGTTTTGAATGAGGCTTGTATAGTATACAAACTTGTATAGTAGACAGTGGAGTTTTTTTTTTTGTTTGATTGTTACCTGTGGTAGCCCATGTGTTTGTGAAACAGGTGGTGCGGACCTATAGACATTGCTGCTTGTTATCTTGACAGGAAAACTGTGTTTTTTGCTATATTTTCTGTAAAATATGTAAATGATTTTGAAGAAAAGCCCACAGAAAATCTTTCACTTCTAAAATCATTATTCTGAATAGCTTTCAGAACTTAAAACACCTATTGCCACCATTCATCTAAAAGTGACCACAGCAGTGGACTGTTTTCATGTATTTTTTTCCAGACATGTTTTGAACTAATAGAGAACAAATGTTTCAAATTCTCAGTGGAGTACCAGCTTTTACTTAAATGATATGCGTGGTGAATCCACAGAAAGCACATGACATCATCTTTAATAGAGGCATTCCTTTCTGGATTGCATTACTGCAAGTGTAAAAAACAACAAAAAAAACCCAAACCGAATTAAGAATTTGAGTGGCCTAACTTTTTTTTTGCAAATTTTTCTGTTGAATAAAAACCACAGTTAACTTGCTAAAAATAAACCTGTGCCATCTCAAATGTCTGCATAACCACTGCATTTATGGTGCTTGGCACCATTCATTACATTTGGGACTTTGAAATGCTTTCCAGGGTATGGATGGCAGCAGAGCTGTGCCCATCCAAAGCCCACAGGCACATCAATTAAAATGTAAATTGTGTTGTCACTAACGATGGAGAGAGTCAGGTGCAACCCAAACATCTGGTTGATGCCCGATCCCACACATTCACCCCATAAGCCTCTTGCAGCTAAGCCTTGCCACTCAGGGACAAGTTCTGTGGTTGGCGGGAGCAGGGTGTGAATCTGGGACTGCCAGGCACTGCCCATGTGGAAATATGGCACAAAGATGACAGGCAATGTGCTCAGACAGCTGTATAAAGGGTTTAAGCTCTTTCTTCCGCTCATCAGTCTACTTCTGACAGCACTCCTGCAGTACTGCAGATGAGGTAAGGGGTCCCAGCATGAAAATGGGGCTTCAAAGCAATCATCTTCATATGCAACACTACACAGCACTGCAAGGTAAAGGTGAAGCCATGATACACTGGAAATATTCTGAGGCAGTGGGTGTTTGCCAGAATTTGAGGTCATGTACATCTGTACAAGCATTATTCCCATCCTCTCCAGTCATAATTATGTTCTTTCTAAAGTACGTGTTAATGCTGCTTCTGTAGCATGACCTTCAGAATTTCAATGGTTCTTAATGCAATTTATTATATGCTTTCTATAATAATGCGATTTGTCAAGACAAATTTGAGATCAGGGATCATTTTAAATTTTACATATACAATAGAAACACAAAGACATATAGATCAACAGTATTTAATTTAACAAAACTGTCCTTCTAGCAGTGAGCTTCAACTTTTACAGTAGCAGAAATGGATGCATTTCCCTCTTTTCAGGTCCTCAGCCTATTGATGACAGCGCAGAGTGGCTAATGTATGTGACAGATAATTAAACGGTGAATAATGATCAGATTCCATCACTGACAGTTCTGTCACTCACTCCAAAATGATGAACAAGTGTTTAATTCATCTCAGTTAGAGATGGTCACAAAAGATTTCATCAATTAATCCACAGCTGAGAAAATCACTAATGTGCTCTAGGATTCCTTGATAAATGGGGAAAATGAGGTTACTGTGTCATCTGATCGAAAATCGGCAGCTATACCAAAAAAAGAACAATAAAGGAACAATACTTTGTTTCATGTTTTTTGACACATCTTTGAAAGAAGTTGAAAGTATATTAGTAAACCAATTTTGTGATATGCGAGGAAAAAAGAAGAAAAAAACCCACATGAATTAAGTGTTGAAAAAATAATTGCAGAATACAGTTTTCGTGATTTAACCACAACATTTTTTTCTTAAATAAATAACTTCTGCTTTGTAAAGACACTTTTTGAAACAGTAGACATACTCTAATTCCGAAAGTCACTGAATTAACATTGCTAGTCGCTGATTTGCCAAACACAAGTCTGTTATTCCGAGCGTCAGCCGCAGTCCTCGCAACCAAAGGTCAGTAATGTTCTGTCAATAATGCCTGTAAGTAATTTCATCAGTTTTAAAATGTCTCACAAAAGTATTAGATTTGGGTCTCTTGTACATTGTCTTTTGAGCTGGCCCGGATTAGCAAAGGTTCGTGCGCTGAGCTGTGTATAGAATTGATTGTGGAGGCATGGTTGTATGCAGTCTTATAGGTGTTATAGTGGTTGAGGTGCTCGTGCTCAAGAGGAGGCAGAGTAAGGTGGCCCTCCATGCCTGGGCCTCCTGTTACACAATCCTCGTCCACATTGATGATCTCAATAGTGCGTGTGGGTGCATGGTGATTCTGCTGGTGGTGTTGTTTGCGCATCTTATAGAAGATAATAAGCATGACAGCTGCCATGAGTGTGATTGCAACAAAGCAGCCAATGATGATCTTGGTTGTCTTCATTACCTCATCCAAGCCATTCTGCAATCCCTCACCACCCACCTCTGTGACGGGAATTGTATAAGTCTTCTCTGTGGCACGTGTGGAGAGTGCGGTTCGGATGGTGGTGGTTGTTGTAGAGGTTGGTGAGATAGACTCCCATGTACCAGCAGAGGGTGTGGGGCCAACCTTCTGTTGGACAGTAGTGGTGAAGCCTTCATTATGCGGGGTTTCTATTGTCTCCACTGTCACTGTAGTAAAGTAGCTGAAACTGCTTTCCGTAGAGGAAACATTGAGTGTGGCAGACGCTGTTGTGTTACCTGCAGAATTACTCACCATGCACGTATATGTACCTGTGTCCTGCATGGTAACGTTGGTAAAGTTCAGTGTGCCATCATTCAGCACAGAGATTCTGACCTTGTATGCACCGTGTGTCATGATGGAACCATTGGGTGTAATCCAGCTCACTGAGGTTAAAGAGCTGGCTCTGCATTTCAACTCTGCAGCACTTCCCTCTGTTACATTTAGGTCTGTGGGAGGCTCCACAATAACAGGAGCATAACAGTGAAAGTAATTCTGGTCCAGCTCACCAATGTAGCGTCCCTTATGGTGAGGAGGTGAACTGCAGCGGGCACAGCAGCTGGTGTTTGCAGGTACCATCTCCTTAAGCCACCAGCTTAGCCAGAGGATGTCACAGTTACAATTCCAAGGGTTGTGGTGTAAGTGCACTCTCTCCAGGTGATGTAGAGGAGTGAATAGATCATGGGGCAAGAGGGTAAGGTTATTGTGGGCCAGATTGAGTTCCACAAGTGATTGCAGGTCATCAAAAGCATTCCTTTCTATGGTCTGGATCTGGGCATGCATCATCCACAGCTTTTGTAAGTGTATAAGCCCTTTAAATGAACCAGGCCGGATGACAGATAGCTGATTTCCTGACATTTCCAGTTCATCCAGCTTCACTAGGGGAATAAGATTGGGAATTTCCTTCAGATTGCACATTCCCAGATTTAAGTAGCGCAGATTGCTCAGCCCTTCAAAGGCCCCATCAGATATGTAGTTGAGCCGTTTGAGCTCCCCAAGGTCCAGCCTTCGTAATGAGGGCACTCTGTTGAAAGCATAGGAGGTAATGCTCTCTATGGGGTTATTCCTTAGCCAAAGCTCTTTTAGTTTGGACAAGTACTCAAAAGCCCCGTTTGGGATGGTGGTGAGGCGGTTATCAAATAGCTCCAAGGTATTGAGGCTTGCCAGTCCATTGAAGGCCCCAAGCTCAATTTTGCGTATGTGGTTTTTGCTCAGCTGTAGTATCTCTAGATGTCTTAGGTGTTTGAAGCTGTCCACTTTTATGACTTGAATAAGATTTTCTTGCAGATTCAGGTAGCGTGTGTTGGTAGAGATGCCATCAGGAACATCCCGCAAGCCTCTGCGGGTGCAGATGACTTTGCTGAACTGGTTACTGCACGAACAGACAGAGGGACACGTCTGAGCGCGAACCAGTCCTGCGACCACCAGCAGCTGGAGGGCCAGGAGCAGAACAAACAAAGGGTCGGACAAGGCCCGGTTCCACCTAGGACCTCGCATCATCTGCTGCTGCTGAGAGGAGGTCATCTTGTTTAACATTCATAATTCATTGACTGGTCTTTCACTCTCTTAAAAGAGGATTTTGGCCCACTGGAATGAAATGAGAAAGAGAAAAGAGAAGACACCCATTAGGTAAGTGTGTGAACAAGTCTAATGCATACTAAAGTTTATCCCATGCCATTTCGAATTATTAGCACAAGGATAGCCTTAAAAAAAGGTATACTGTCTTGCAGCAACCATTAACCACATCCACACACAAACTGGGAACTTATATAGAAATGCGTTTTCAGGCACAATGTCCTTGTATCTCAGTCACATAATCCAAATTCCTGAAAAAACAAATGATTTCTGTGCTGTTTGTTTGCAGAAGAAGGGAACGAGTGAAAAAAAGTGAAAAAAAGCAGCCATGACTGCTGCGTTGTGATTTATATTTCAGTGTGGAGGAGCATAAATAATAATAAGCTCAACACCCACTAGTCCTTCAATCGAGTCAAGATATCTAGAAACCTCTGATTACAACTCACAATTCAGCAAACAAAAGCCATGAAAGCAAGTGAAAATATATATCTATATATATCTATATATAGATATATATACACATATAATATGTGTGTGTATATCGATTTAGAGAACGTGCAATGAGTTCAACACTACAACAGTGGCCTCTCCATTTGGGTTTATTTTCTTTATTTTTTTTTTATAAATCACAAATTAAAAGCTCTGTTTAAATTTACAACTTCCTTAAAAAGATTAAGGTTAAGATTTTCTCTTTTCATGTTAACTGGAAAAGCACTGTGAGTTAAGGCAGGAACATTAAGCAGCTGAAATGTAGACTAGCAGTGAGGTCAACACTACAACAGTGGCCTCTCTTTATTTGCTTTCTGCTGAATATACACTTTACATTTTTTTTTCTTTTTTTTTAATAAACTTTACTCAAGGAACTTGAGTATTCCCAGGGCCCAAGTTGGCTTTTAAAGTCTGAGACATTTTACCTTAAACCATTAGACCATTCAAAATTTTTTTTTCTTTTTTACTAAGCACTTCATACATTTTTTCTTACATGTTTTATACAATATGGGTATTCAGCTACTTAATAAGTGAAAGATCAGTACAGTTAAATGCCATAAATGCCACTGATGCTCTGATGTCCTTCATTGTCAAATATCTCAGCCAAGTGTGTCTGTCACACAAAAATAAAAAAAACCCTGTTGGTTTTCTATAATCAATGTATGTGTGTGTTTTAGTGTTAAACATAATCATATCCATTCTGTGGAATAATAAACCCACTGAAAGACACATCGCTGACATATTGATTAATTTCATGTTCAGTATAACATCTCTGGACTTTACCGGCTTATTATTAATGACTACATTGCAACACCATTGTTCAAAAACGAATTCAAATACAATAATTACAACACTCTTATTATGTTGAGTCATACAACTTTCTCATTGCTTTGCTTATTATACAGTTCATTAGTATATGTTTTTTTTTATTGTCATTTTTTTCCTCACTACTATCTAAGTGAAAAACAGGGAACCACTCTGGGCAGGTCGGAAGTGAGTCACAGAGCTAGCACAGATAAAGGGAAACATTTATAGAGCCTCTAATCTACCTGACCTGAATGTTTTTGAATGTGGGAGGAAACTGGAGCATGTTCAGAAAATCAATGTGAACATGAAGAAAAAGATGTAAACTATACTGTTAGATTTTCAACCTCCAGTGAAATGTCAGCGATAAATACTGAACCACTGTGGAATATGTGTTGTTCGGCTATGAATAGCTCAGGAAATGTGAAACATTTTTGTAACGGAACACAATGTCTTTCACACAACAAGGTTCAATCTTTCAACAATAACAGAAAGAGCTCTCTGAGATAAGAGTTATCTTGAGATGTGTTATATATTAATTAAGTAAAATATCTTTTATATTTAAAGAAACTAATCACAAATGAACAGCTCTGTTAATTGTCACTGAGTCAACATCAAAATTTAGAAAGAATATTAACAAATTACAGTGTTCAAAAATGTTTTATGCAAGACAATTTGTCTATTTAGAAGGAAAAGCACAATTTCCTTGTAAAAAAAAACCCAGAAGATTTTCTCTTGTTGTGTTAATTGGAAAAGCACTGCGAATGAAGACATGCAGTAACATTGCAGTGTTGTTGGGATGCAATATTCATAGTTTCTGTAGGCATACAGTGTGTTCAACACACAGCCTAATCTCCAAGAAAGCTCTTCACTTAAGAATGGGGAGGCTATTACTGTAACTACTGATTAATTGCTTGATTACTGACTCCATTAATTCTTCAATTGCAAAATTTAAATTCCAAGCAGCCAAAGCCTGGGGATGGAAAAAGAATTTGTTTTCATACAGGGGGACTGAGCAAATGTGACAGAGCTCACACACCAGGCTGAAAATCACATTCCACTGTTGCAGTTTTAATTTGTTCGAAATTAAAACCTTGCACAAAACAACAGGGTTTAGTGCAGCACATGGTTTAATACAAGATTTATGCTTGGATGTTCTATTGACACTGCAAGAAGAAAATATTAATATATGAAGCTGAATTTTTGTATACACATCTTTATTATACACATCTTTTTAGGTGAAAACAATGTATTTTCAATGCCATGAATGAATATAATGACCTACTAAAAACATGCTTCAGTTAAGACTTCTGAAAACTTCCTCACTCTCTGTATCTCCGCTATTTACTCATCCTCCTTTTCAACAGATCAAACCTTGATAAAAAGATAAACAATGAATCAGCAGAACAGAATCCAAACTGTGGCAGTAGAAAAGATCAAGTTGATTTACAGAGCAAAACAATATATCTGCACACTGACAATGAAAGCAGCAAAATTGGATTTACATAGTGCTGTGATGGAATTAGATGAAAAGAGATAAGGAAAATAGGATTAAGAAAAGAAAGCATTTTCAACTTTTGTCCTAACAGATTATGAACTGCCAGCTGTCTCTTTGTCTTGCAGACATACTGAAGCGCGACCCTGCTTAACAGAAGTGGAGACAATTAAACAGCCAGACCTGCAATATTTGTGAATTCATTTCTTGCTTTTACAGAACCTGTTATGTGGAGTTGTGAATATTTTCTTTTGTGCCCCTGTTGTCCACACAGGCTCTTCTTAGGGCTGCTTCTGCAGTATTTGCTCCAAATTATTCCCTCATCAAGCAGCCAATAATGAAAGATGAAAAAGTTTTTGCAGCATCCACCTGTGGAGTGGTTACTAGACCGCTTATTTCCCACTGGACTTTCACCCCGAGTCTAATGCTTGCTTCCATGCTCTCAGACTGGCACTCCCTCTGCAGTCTACTTGCTCCATTCTAGTCCTGTGCTCGCTTGGAGGAACTGCATCATTGAGCAGAAACCTTTGTCTAAGGCAGACAGTGATGGTACCTCTGTTACAAGTAGTATAAGCAATCATGAGACCTGATTTGACAAATGATGCTTGCCATCCATACTCTGACAGTAAAGCAGTCCAGATGTGCAAATAATGTTTGTCTACCTGCCTGTGTGATTCAATTGCACAAAAGCCTACAGTGCAGGATCAACAGAGCCTTTGCAGGACTAACTCCTAACTGCTAACTTCACAAGCACTTTAAATTCAGCCCTCATCAGAGGGATGGAGATACATCAGCCTCTTGGGCCTCTCCATGCCGCTTCATACATTTCTATTTGCGCATGTTTTGGAGTCCTCCCTGACTCAATCAGTTTTAAGTGTGCTAGACAGCCAATGACGTGTTGGGACTTTTATGCACATGCCAAGAGGTATTCCTCTAATCCCATCAAGGATTAGTGATCTGCATGGTGTGTAACATTACTAACATCCCACTCCTCTGCTGTAGAACTGTTTTTTCTATCACAAGGCAAGAGATGTTAAATGACCAAAATACAGCTTTTCTCACAGCGTTATTGCACGTTCTATTCATGGGTCATAACCTGGTGTACAATACTGTCACGATAGGGCAATGGCCAATGTAAGCTGAGATACCATTAGTATATTTATAGTCGTCAAAATGATGGACACCACTGGAATAAAAAAAAGAAAAAAGAAGAAAAGAGCCTGCAAAAATCAGGTCAGTGTAATTAAATGATGCTGAGGTGGAGTTAATGGGCCTGTTTGGAGCACAAGGGCATAAAGGAAAATCTTCAAGACTAGAACAACCAGTTCTTTACTGTATTGCTCACAGGCCCTGCCATCACTACATATACATGAACTGTAACAAATTTATTTAATATACAGATAATGAATGAAGTTATGTAATAAATTAACAAATAAAAATGCACAATGTCCTCAAAGATCAGAGAAAAAAAATATAAAAATGTTTAAATAAAAATAATTATGACAAGAGAAAAAGGGGTATAAAAATCAGGGTCAGTATTTTAGATTAACTGCCATCTGTAAAATGGTATATTTTGTTTATTTAAAAAACATGTCTCCAATAGATAAGATGGGACATTCGTAGTGGTAGTGGTAGTTTCCACATGGTCTTAAGTCTAGCCCTTCTTATGACTACTGTAATTCTGAAGTCTGTCATATTTTTACATTATAAATTGGGTAGAAAAGGCTGAATTATTTAGTTACACTGCAGGAAATTCAAGTGGGGCTAAAGCCCCCCAAAATAAGTCTGTGACTAGTTGGCACAAGCCACTGAGTTATTTTATTCTGCTTTCTTATTATGGACAGCATGAACTTCCTGTATTCATTCCTTACAAATGCATTAATTCCTTTGAAAGGTGGGGAAAATAGAGTGGACTCCTCTGACGCTTTCTACACTCAGTTAATGCTCGAGTGCTTGCTGATTGTGAACTTTTTTGTAAAGAGTGACTGACAGAAGCTTTAGCTTTCACATTGCATGGAAGAGAAAAGATGATGAAAGATTGCAGAGTGTGAGGCATCTGTGAGAGAGGAATGTTGGTATGTATGCTAGAGAAAGAGAGAAAGGAGAAAGTGCAAGAGAGAAAAAGAGAAGGAGGGATTAATGAGATATAAATCAAATCAGGCCACTTCTTGATAATGCCAGCAACAGCTCCAAATATAAATCAGAATCCTTTAAGGATTCCAGT